TTTCCAATCGGAGCTAATTAACTTAAATAAAAATCATTTTTACGGTGTTTATTATATGTGATAAATGAAAAATGATCGGCAAATGATCGGTAAAATGATCTGCAAAATGTGATAAAATTAAGCATGACCGCTTTGCTGTGTTGATATAATTTCGTCATTTTTATAAGTTTTATATAATTTTAACTTTTTTTGAATTTTGCAAATTTTTTAATAAAATTTTAATATAATTTAACCAAGCTTTACTTTTAGCATTTAAACATCTGTCTAAACTTTAGATTTTGTTTAGCAACCTTAAATATGACTAATAAGACCAATAAAAGTATATATATATATATGCACTTTTTATATATTTATATTTGTATAAACTAAAAAAATATATAAAAGAAGTAAGAATAAAAGGATATATATTAGTTAAATAAGTTTTTTTAATTTATAAGATGATTTTTTAACATTTAATTAAATCTAAATCAATTTATTTAATTTAATTATTTAATTTCAATATTATAATTAATGAATATTAGTTTTATAAAAAAATGAATAAATTCAATTTAAATTTTATTATAAAATAAATAATTTTTTCTATCTTTAAATTTATATTTTTTTATAATGCATATCCTATATAAATATACTATTTTATTATATTTTAAGGGAATGCATTTATATAAATAAAGTTGTCTATAGTATACTTTTAAAATAATTTTAAATAAAGATATTTTTCTAAACTATTTTTAAACAATTTTAAAATTTTATATATTTAAACTTTTAATATGTTTTTGTAAAAATAATAAAGTTTAATTAAGTTTTATATTTAAGAAAAGCTATTTTAAAAGTTTTACTTTATAAAATAAATAATAAAATAAGTAAAAATTTAATATTAATCAAAAATAAAAATTTTAAACTTTTATACTTTTTATTGTAAAGCTCCTATATATTAAAATAAATTTTGAATAATAAAAGTTTTTAAAAGCTAAGAATATTTTAAATTTACATAAAAATAAATTTGATTTTATATTACTTATTTATAAATTATATTTTAAATATTATTTTATCAAAACATAGAATTGAACTTAAAAACTAATCAGATAATTATTATTTTTATGTTATAATTATTGACTAAATTAATTATAATTTATATTATAATTATTGATTAAATTAATTATAATTTTTATTTTTATATAAAAGTTTAATTACAAAATGATGACTTAAAAAAATAGAATTTTATTTAAATAATATCATAAAAAATATATTATGATAGATATAAAAGGTTATATATAATAGAATATTGATAGCAATTTTTTGTATAAATGATCAAGTAAATAAAATATATTAAATTATTTATATTATTATTTAATATATTTTAATAAATTATTTATTATTTTTATTTTAGATATGAAAAAATTTATGTTATTAAAAAAGATAATTTAATTTTATTTTAAAAAACAAAAAACATGTATTATTAGATATGATAAAACAATTTTTATGCTAGTATTATCTTATGATGCTAATAACTAAAAATTAGTATTAACTTAAAGATTAATAAAAGATTTAGCTTTAAGATTTATAAAATAAAAGTTTATAGAGAGCTCTGAAAATTTTTGTGATTAAAATGTATTTTAAAGACAAGTGTAATTATGAATTAAGCGATTAGAGTTTTATTATAAAAAAGAATTTATTACAATTGTATTTGTTAGCATATAAGTAAGTGTATTTAATAATTATTTTGTTGTCGATAGAACTAAAGTAAATTTTTTGCTAAAGATTTATGTTCTTAATGAAGTTCTAAAGCTACACTATTTATAAGAAATTTGATAATATAAAAAAAAATAAATGTCTGGATGCTTTGCAGTAAAAAGGTAAAAAAACTCTAAAAAAACTTTTTTTAGTTAATTTAAATCTGAACTTATTTTACCAAATCATATGGGATCTTTGCAATAGAAAGGGAGGAAACTGCCGGTAGTTTCCCCCCTTCTATTGCAAAGGTCCCATATTTTGCTTATAATAATAATTGTTGGGGTAATCTTAACCCTTGCTTAATTTTTTTGTAGTTTTTTTTCTTATTCTATTATAATGCTCATATATCATTATAAAAATTTATTATGTCAGAGCTGTAGCTCTAGTATATTTCTATAATATTACTTAGAACTGAAAAATTAATATTATACAGTATATTAAAATTCTACGTTAAAATTATAAATCACTTGATAACGTAATTATGTACCACGTTTCGTATTACGTCTTTCGTATTAACGTTTTTTGGGTACAATTATCATGGCAGTAGATCTATTGGATCTATTACGCGATGTATAAAATCGCCGTTTTTTGGTTAATTTGATTGGCCAGAACTGCTTGTGTTTTTTTTTGGCAATAAATATCTGTTTTATCGTGTCGTTATTTATACATTTGGTTAAGTTATTCAAATTATCAAAGAAAAATGAGAATCGAAGAAATTGTCATTGAAGGCTTTAAATCTTATGCGGTTCGTACTCATATTTCTGGATGGGACCCCGCATTTAATGCCATTACAGGACTTAACGGTTCTGGAAAATCAAATATACTGGACGCGATATGTTTCGTGTTGGGTTTAGCAAACTTAAGTCAGGTGAACATTTTTCAACGTTATGACGCGAAGTTAGAAATGTTAGAAAGAACAAACTAATCTAACCATATTTTTAATGCTTAGGTTCGTGCAAATAATATGCAGGACCTGATTTATAAACGGGGTCAGGCCGGTGTCAATAAAGCCTCAGTCACTATTAGGTTTAATAACGAAGATAAAAATAATAGTCCCGTTGGGTTTGAAAAAATTAAGGAAATAAATGTTACGAGACAAGTGAGTAATAAAATTTGGTATAATTGTTTAGATAAACAGTGATTTCTATTATTTATCTATGAACTATGTTTAATAGATCGTTATGGGTGGAGGACAAAGCAAATATTTTGTTAATGGAACAAGAACTCAACAAAAAAACGTTGGAAATTTATTCCAATCGGTTCAACTTAATATCAATAATCCGCACTTTTTGATTATGCAAGGTCGAATCACAAAAGTTCTTAACATGAAACCTCCAGAAATCTTAGCAATGATTGAAGAAGCTGCCGGTACACGCATGTTTGAAGAGAGAAAAGAAAAGGCATTAAAAACCATCGCAAAAAAAGAAAAAAAAGTTGAAGATATTACAAAGGTATTTATCACAACCTGTTTTTATATCAATGAATTAAGCATTTTTTTGATATATGTATATTCTTGATAGGTACTTGACGGAGAGATCGAACCAAAATTAGAAAAGTTGAGGATTGAAAAAAGGATTTTTTTGGAATTCCAGAAAACCGAAACCGAGATTGAGCGTTTGAGTCGAATTGTTATTGCATATGATTATTCAAAGAATCAAGTAACTGTTTATTTATTTTTTAATATAAATACCACATGCTTTTATTAAATACCTATTTCTTTTCTTTTTCTTTTTTTCTTTTTCCTTTTTTAAAAGGAAAAAGCAAATAAAACGGGTGCTGAAGTTGAAGCAAAGATGAATAAAATTCAAGAATCAGAAAGGTTTATTGAGCGTATCAAGGAAGAAATTGCTTACATGGAGGAAGATATAAAACAAACTATATCTAAAAAAGAAAAGGTATTTTGAATTATATTGATTTATAATTATAATTATTTTTGTTACTTTAATACATTTACTTTTTATTTATTCAATGATTATAGGAATTGGGGAAAAGTGTTAATATTAAAGAACTAGAAAATAATGTAACGGAGTATTCAAACGAGTTATATCGCATCATTACAAAATGTGATCTCCACAAAGTCTCTATTGATGAAGAAATGGTCAAAAAGAATGCTCGTTTATCAAACAAAGCTGAGGTATAATGAATCATGGAAAAATTTTAAATCAAATTATGCAATCGACTACCATGATGTTAACTGATTTTAAATAAACTCCAGATAAATCAAGCATTGTTGCGCAAAACTGAAGAATCTAAAAAATTAGAAATTCAGTTCGTTGAAATAAAAAAAGTTCATGATGAAAAAAGTGAACAAGTAAGAAAATCAGAGGAACTTTTCGAAACATTGTCTACGGGTCTTTCAGCAAAGGAGGGACACGAATATGGATACATGGAGCAGTTACAAGGTATATTTAAAATTTTCCTACTATAGTTAATTGTAATATTAATTTATTTTTATATTATGAATTGTATAGAGGCAAGAAATAATGCATCTCGTGCATCAACCGAAATAGAACAAGCCAACGTAAAGATGTCACATTTAAAATTCGAATTAAAAGAAAAGGAGCCTTTAGCGGAAAGGGCTCAAAGTACTATTCAAAAATTATTAGATGAATATGAATTGGCTAAAAAATCAGCACAAGATCTCATGGTATTATATTATATAATTTACAAAAAAAATCATCTTAAATTATTAATATAGTATTAAAAAAGCGTTTATAAATTGTTTTAGACAACATTATCAACTATTAATTGGGATTCAAGTAAAAAAGAAAATTTTTTAAATAAACAATCTATAATACAGAAAAATATAAAAGAGCTTAAAAAGGTAAATTTCAATTTTAACTTGTTTATTCTAAGTTAACTAATTTATTTATTTATTTTTTTAGAAATGTGGATCTTTATCAAATTCATCATATATTGACTTTTCATATTCTAATCCTACACCAAACTTTGATCGTAGCAAAGTCAAAGGTTTAGTTGCGGAGTTAATTAACTTGAATCCGCAACATATGCAATGCTCGCTCGCTTTAGAAATTTGTGCTGGTGGTAAATTGTATAACGTAAGTTTTACCACATAATTAAAAAAATTTTCTTTAGAAGGATTAGTAATCTTGATATTTACAATACAGTTGGTCGTGGAGAATGACGAAGTTGCAACTCAACTTCTCAAAAATGGACAATTTCAGAAACGCGTGACAATAATTCCTTTAAATAAGATTCAAGCGTATAGATTATCAGCTGAGGTGAGAATAAATGAAACTATCAATTTTTAAATCGATGTCGCTAAAGTTTCTTTGCTAAAAATATATTAGAGACTCACGAATGCTAAACGGATGGCTCCTGAGAAAGTAGATCTAGCATTGACATTAATCGGTTATGATCATGAAGTTGAAGCTGCTATGAAATTTGTATTTGGAAATACCTTGATAATTACAGATGCCGATACGGCTAAACAAGTCACTTTTAACAAGAGTGTACTAATTAAATCTGTTACTTTTGAAGGAGATGTTTATGATCCCGCTGGAACTCTTCAGGGCGGATCCAAACCTTCATCTGCTGGAATTCTTATGAATTTGCAAACTTTAAAAGGCTACAAACAGCAAATCAAGATTAATCAGGATGAATTCGATAATCTTGATGAAGAAATCGCAAGCACGCAAAGGATGGAAGACAGGTACCAACAAATCAAACATCAGTTAGGGTTAATGACACATCAAGTCGCGTTGTTAGAACAACGAATCAATAATAGTAATGAATCACAGGTAATCAACCGATAAATAAACCATAATATTTTATGTTAAGTCCTATTGTATACATTAAATTAAATATTCATTAATATAGACCATTAATACCGTCAAGCATATCAAATCTAAAATCGTCGAAGTTGAAAGTACTATCGCCACTTCTATGGAAAAACGGAAATATGCTTTGGATTCATGTCAAAGAATTGAAAATGAAATGAATGAGTTCGAAAATAATCGAGATTCAAAACTAAAAGATCTAAAGGTAAACAAGAGAGAACCTAAAAAAAATTAAGGATTTAACGTATTCACATACATTTTAAGCAGAAATCTGTATCTCAAGGAAAATCGGAGATCGCACAAAGTAATCAAGTTGTTACTAATATGCAGAGGAAAATCCAAACTATATTTTTGGAGATGAGTAAGTTTTGAAGCTAACAAACTTCAATTTAATGAAACGAAATAACTTAATATACATTTTTTAATTTTTATATATATATATATATAAAGAGCAACTTGAAGTAGATCTGCTAAACATCAACGAAGAAATTGATAATTTTGATAATAATATTAAACAATTATCCGAAGTTGCTGAATCTATGGGACATGAGCTAGATCGGTTTAAGGTTAATATAAATTGTACTGATAAACCTTCAATAATTACACATGTTTACCTAATGTTATTTATTTATTTTTTAAGAGTCTATTACATCAAGCTCAAACCGAATTTGAAAAAGAGAGAGAGATGATTTCGGCTTTTGATGGGGAAATTTCGGAGCTTCAAAATGCTGTTAAAACAAAAACAGCAGAAATGACCGAAATAAAATTAGAAATGTCCAAGATTAATCATGAAGCTGAAAAACTTCAAAGAGATAAAGAAGCTTCTCAACAAGTTATTTTACAAATGGAAAGCGAGCACGATTGGATTTTAAATCAAAAGCAGTAATTTCTTTATATAATTCACAATTATCGTTATAGCACAATTGTTCTAAAACAATTTTATTCATAGCCATTTTGGAAAACCTAATACTGCATATGATTTCATAAATCACAACCCGAACGAATGCAAAAAGATGTTACGGCAACTTGAGATGAATCGTAAAAATTTGCGTAAAAAAATCAACAAAAAAGTTATGAACATGATTGACAGGTTTGAATTTGATAAATTAATTTATTAGGTAAAGCATTTAATGCTACATATTTATAATAAGTAATATTTTTTTTTTTAGCGTAGAAAAGAAAGAAACGGCTTTGAAGCAAATGTTATCAACGGTCAAAAAAGATAAGAAAAAAATCGAGGTTACTATTGTATCCCTCGATAATTACAAAAAAGATGCATTACAGAAAACTTGGAAGAAAGTTAGCGAGTAAGTAATTTTTAATATAAATAATGATAAATTTAACATAGTACTAATTATTTATTGAATTACTAGGGATTTCGGTGCCATTTTTAGCGAATTGTTACCAAATAGTTTCGCTAAACTTCAACCACCAGAGGGTTTAGATCTAATGGATGGTTTAGAAGTTAAAGTGAGCCTTGGAGGAGTATGGAAACATAGTCTATCGGAGCTAAGTGGTGGACAACGGTCAGTACGAATGCAATTTTTTTTTAAAAAATATATTTATTTATTTGTTTATAAACTGAATTAAAAACCGAATTAATTCTTAATTTAATAGGTCACTTATTGCTTTATCTTTGATCTTGTCATTATTACAATTTAAACCTGCTCCAATGTACATACTTGATGAAGTGGATGCGGCACTAGACCTTTCACACACGCAAAATATTGGACAATTACTTCGAACTCGTTTTAAAGGGTCACAGTTTATTGTTGTGTCACTCAAAGACGGAATGTTTAATAATGCTAATGTATTATTTCGTACAAGATTTCGAGGTGGCACTTCAGTTGTCGAGGTAAGATTATTAATAATATTTTCAAATTAGGTATTATAATTTATTTATTTATTTATATATTTATATTTAGCATTCAAGAAGACGAGATCGAACCATTTAATTAAGAGTTATTTGCGAATAGATGTTTCTAAAAACTCTAATTCTTTTATGCAGTATATAATAAAGATATAGATAAAAAAATTTTAATAAAGAATTTTTTATAAAAGAACGCATCAATAAGTTCATTAGAATTTTTCTTAGTTAAATATTCAAGTATCATCCAGGATTATTTTTCTTTTTCTTCCCATCTTCTTTTATTGTTGTTATTAAGGTTTGATTGATAATCGCTAATACCATCTGACTAATCATTTGTTAACATTAATAAATTTTTTATTAACATGATACATTATTAACGTACTTACATTAATTTGGTAGTGAACAGTAGTTTCTTGTAAATTTGGTGACTTGACAAGTTGTGCGCAACTAATTTTTTTTTTTTAAAAAAAAGTCAGTTTATGAAAATCAAGCAAAATATTTTAAGCCGATCTTACCGAATTTCATTACGCCAATAAAGAACTATACGATTTGTACATTGATGACCCCAACTTTCACCTATATAAATAAAGCATTGCAAATAAATTCCTATGAACATTTAATTACAAGCGATCTTCAATTACCTAAAGCTGGAACTAAAGCAGCTTGATCTTTAACATTGTAATCTCTAGATGTTTTAAATTTTGTAGTCATCTGATTAAACAAAACAACCTAAATGAAAAAGATGATTGTTTTATTAGCGATTTACTTTAAAATCTTTTATTACGTAAAATGTACTCACAGCAAGTTCATATGTTTGAGCAAATTTATTTAAATCCTGAGCCAACCCATTTAACAGTCGCGTTCGAAGTGCCATATCATCAAATTGTTGACGAAAATGAAATGCAATGGAATCAATGACAAGAAGTTTTACCTGAAATAAAATTATTAATATTGAAACTAATTAAATTGAACATCTTAAAGGGTATAAGTTACATTTGGATGTTCTTGTAAAAATTCATCTAGGATTTTCATAAGCGCGATTAACTCGTCACAGTTATGAACTTTTGATACATAAATTCTTGACATGACGCTCTCAAAGTTCACTAGAAATTCTATTTTTTTAAAAAAAATATGAATACGCTCATAATAAATTATTATATTTAGTCACGCGATCTCACCATTTCCAGCAACGGTATTTTCGTTTAATTTTGTGATTGTAGCCTTAGCAATTTCCGCAGCACGATGAGCGATAAAGCTACCTTCCGTATCTTGATAGAGAAACTACTGTGAATAAATAATCTCTTCTAACTACATAAAATGGGCGTGAACATCTTTGTATACCGATAAATATTGCTTCTCCTTCTGGGCCGGATAAATTTTGTGGTACTTGAACATTAACACAAAGTTGCATCCTACAATGAATTAATTATAAGTCAATGAATTTTAGTAACTTTATTTTAAAAAAAAACCTTCATGATCCAAACATTTACCCTAGCTGTGTTTTACCCATCCCAGGAGCACCGCAGAACTCAGTTATTTTTCCTATGGGAACTCCTCGCCCGCCAAGCATCTGATCCATGGCTTCGCATGAAGTAGATATAGGACATAGTTTACGTTCTTGTTTTAGAGCTTCTGATGCGGAAATCGACGTAACCTTATCTATAAATTTACAATTTTTTTTTTAAATATTTTTTAATAAATTTGAAATATATTAACGTATGTAGTTACTTTTTTTTATTTGTTGTAATATATTTAATGCTTCAGTGTTCGATATCCCTATTTCTTAAATAAATAAAAAATAAAAAGATTTAGTAATACTGACAATAAAAGTGGTCTTTAACAGCAAACAATAACCTTTACTCAATTCTATAAGTGTGGTTTCTTGTAAATCTTTAACCGTTTGAAAGCCTGCTTTGATCAGTTTGGTTCGGGTGCTTGGACGTAAACTTAAAGAAGAAACTGGCCTGGTGCTCATGACTTACGGTATATAACGCGTATATTTCTGCAAAAATGAAGTAAAATTTATAATTGCAAGACATCAAGTTTTTATTGGGCAAACAGCCGGCAGATTTTTGCAAAATTTCGCCGCAGGAGACCTGAACCCAACGCGTTTTAATTCGTGCTACATCATGGCAATCTAATCTAACAATGGGTTGATCTTTCTGTGATAGATGTCTATTGACGTAGCGTGACAATAAGATTTTATTTTGTAGAATCTATATTGTACGTTTTCCTCTGAGCTCAAAACTTTTTTTTTTTTTAAATCCTTAATACAAAAGCTCTGGCTACTCATTCTGGTACATTTATTACTTCTCAAAAATGGCGCCCCCAACTACTGATTGGATTCAAATGCAAGATCGTTTCTATCGGTAAGAAATTCCCTTCGATTGCCAGATGTCTGCTAAAAAGCAATCCGATTAAACAAATTTTGTATCTAGGAAACAAGAAATATATACGATGCTTTGGAAACATATGGACCTTTCAAAATATATGATTGCAGGAGCTTCATATGGTGGCCCAATTGGTAGAGAATCTATATTTGGTTTTATTCGTACTTCATTGTAAATCAAATAAGAATTCTCAATTCAATACCTTAAAAATTTGTTCTAAAATAATTTTCCCTTTCTCAGCAATGATTCGTGATGATAAAAAGGTTTTGACGTTACAAAAACAACAGCCAGTGAAGCCTACCATTTATCTTTATACTTCTGCAGGAAAATTGATGGAACAATTACAGGTAATTTTAGTTTTTCTTCTTTATCTTCATATCATATTTCTATTTCTGAATTACTTTAGTTATAAATAATATATATATATATATTTTTTCAGTGGGACAAAGGTCGAATTATAACAATGGGTTGGTCCGAATCAGAAAAGCTTGTTGTTGTTTTGGAAGATGGTACAATTAGGTTATATGACATCAACGGAGAATATACTCAACTTTCCCTTGTTAAAGTGAGTCATTTCCGAATATATAATGATGTTGGGCTGATTATTGATATGCTAACCATTTTTTATTAGGAAGCAAAAGAATATTCAGTTATTGATTGTCAGATATGGGGAACTGGGTTGGTGGCTTTAACTGGAAATTTTAAATTAATAGTTCTTACCAACTTTGAGGAACCTAGACCCCACCTTATGGCAGACCCAGGTTTTTGATATTTTTATAATTAATTAACCATAATATAATAATTTCTATTCTAATTTATTTATCAATTTTGAATTAATAAGGTCTAAACGATCCACCACATAGCTGGACGGTAATTCCACCCCAATATACACTTAGCCGTCATGTAGAAGTATTATTAGCAACCGGTTCTACAATTTTGACTGTTGACACTAAAGAATCCCAAGATCAAGTGCGTTTGATAAAAGTTAACTGATTAGATCCAAATTTATTATTAAAAAAATGATCTATTTTAATGCAGCTGCTTCAACAAGGACCGTTTACTAAAATGGCAGTATCACCGAACGGAAAGTTTCTTGCTCTTTTTACTGCTGACGGTAAACTCTGGGTAGTATCGACTGATTTTAATAAAAATCTTTCGGAATTTACTACAAATTCTAAAGCTCCACCTCAACAACTAATTTGGTATGATGACTTCATTATTATCTAAAAATAAAAAAATAATGAATTATTAATAATTTTTAGCTTTCTTTTTAGGTGTGGGACTGATTCTGTTGTATTATATTGGGATAAGATTGTGTTAATGGTCGGTCCATTCGGTGATTACATAAAATATTCATACGATGATACTATTTATTTGGTTCCTGAAATTGATGGTGTGCGCATCATAAGCAGTGACAAATGTGAATTCTTGCAAAAAGTTCCAAGTATGTGATAGATAGAAAAATTAATAAGGATATATATATATAATTTCTTATGATTGATATATTAAATTACTTTATTAAATAGATGTCACCGAAGAAATTTTCAAAATCGGTTCAACTGCACCAGCAGCCATGTTATTCGATGCTTTAGAAAACTTTGAAGTAAGAAGAAATATTCCGATAATTGGTATACCGGAATAAAGTCCTCACATTTGCATTTCTGGTTTCACTTTCAGAAACGAAGTCCAAAAGCAGATGAAAATATACGAAGTATTCGACCAGATCTTGCAGATGCAGTTGATGCTTGTACGGAAGCAGCTGGACACGAATTTAACCAGTATTGGCAGCGTAATTTACTCAAGGCTGCCGCGTTTGGTAAAGCGTTTTTGGAATCGTATAATGCTGATAACTTTGTGAATATGTGTCAGACTTTAAGAGTACTAAATTCTGTAAGATATTATGAGATCGGAATACCGATAACTTACACACAGTAAGTAAAACATTTATTTTAAAAAATAAAGATTGAATTTAATAAATTTATAAAAATTTTTATTTTAGGTTTGCGCGCCTCACTCCTGATGTATTGATTGATCGATTGATAACCAGACATCACCATTTGTTAGCACTACGAATTTGTGAATATTTGAAGATGAGAACAGATAGAGTGTTGATCCATTGGGCTTGTGCAAAGGTGCTAATTTTATTGATTCTATTTTTATAAAATACATAAATAAATAAATACGTATATTTAATCTATCCAATTTTCTTTTTTTAAAAAAAAAATTTTAGATCAAAAAATCGACCGAAGACGAAGAAACTATTTGTCGTATGATTGCGGATAAATTAGCCAATAAGCCCGGTCTTTCTTATAAAGACATTGCTGATACTGCGTATAAAGTTGGGCAGCCAAAATTAGCAACAAAGGTTAGTATTTATTTGGTTTCCCCATGCCTACATCAAATGTATTTTCCAGCATTAATTAAATCTTATTTTTATTTATAGTTACTTGATTATGAGCCGCGTGCAGCCGATCAAGTACCTTTGCTCATGAGAGTGCAGGAAGATGAATTGGCATTGATAAAGGCTATTGAGAGTGGTGATACAGATTTAGGTAATATTTATTTAATAAAACAAAATTGAATGAAATTTCTTAATCTCATTAACTCTTATTGGATATACAGTATATTTGGTAATGCTTCATCTTAAAAGGAAGCTTCCACTTCCTGAATTTTTCCGAATAATTAATAATAAGCCTATGGCTTGTAATTTGCTTGAAGTATATTGTAAACAACAAGACTTGAAACTTTTAACGGATTTTTATTATCAAGATGATCGAAGAGTTGAGAGTGCAAACATTACAATATTAGAGAGTTATGAGCAAAAGGTGAGCCATTCCTCAAATGTACCTCTATATATTAAACGGATAATTGTTTTATTTATACATTTTTGTTAAAAGGATTTGAATGAAAGGATTAATAAGTTAAAGGTAGCATCAAGTCGGTACCAAGAAGATAAAGAACATGCATTCGAAGCGAAGGTACTATTAAATTATTTTGTGAATAAATTGTTTTCAAACTTATTAATTAGGTTGTCTAAAACAATTATAGGCGATTGACGAATATATCAAATTGTTGCACACTCAATCTCAGTTAGAAAAGGAAATACCACATCAACAATTAGTAGGATTATCTTTGAACGATACAGTTCACAAATGCATTACTACTAATCATTCTAACAAAGCAAATAAACTTAAGTCAGACTTCAAAATTCCGGATAAAAGGTAAGTCTTTTGTTACATTAGTAAAGATTTATTATCTGATTTATAGAATTGACAATCATAATTTTTAATATTAGATTTTGGTGGATCAAATTAAAAGCTTTGGTGGAGATGAGAGATTGGGATGAATTAGATCGTCTTTCCAAATTGAAAAAATCTCCAATTGGATATGAGGCAGGATGATTAATGAATAATTAAAATTATTATTTATTTTATATATCATTAACGTTTTTATATTATTTGTATTTTATTAGCCATTTGTGGAAGAATGCATAAAAGCTATGCAACACAGAGAAGCTGCAAAATACATCCAAAAATGTGATCCCGCCGTAAGACCAGGTTTATTTATTAAAATAGGTGATTTCAAAGCGGCGGGTCAAGAAGCACTTGCATTAAAAGATATTCAATTATTGAGGTTTGTAATTCAATTTCTTTAAAAACTCTTTGTTTTCGTATATTTTATTAAAATATTATCTTATCTTTCACAGAGAAATTCAAAGTAAATGTACGAATCATATAATTGCACAAGAATTAGATTCTTACATTGCACAATTAAGTTCCAGATAGAGAAAGTCTCATTTTTTTATTTTAATTTGTATACTTAATTTTTTTTTTTTTTTTTTTGTATTTATTTATTGAGTTTGTATTTGAGATTTTTAAATAATGGTCATAATATCTGAAAATTAGAAATATTTTTTTTTTTTTTAGATATACTAAAGCAATGCTTTATATATATATTGTCTTAGTATCGTTTATTCTAATTTGATAAAACGATTTCATAAGTATTATTAAAATGAATAATAGTATACAGTAATCAATCATAGTGCTATTTAAATAATAAAGTTAATTTGAAATCTGTAAACAACTTTAAATATTTTAAATTTTTTCTGTATTTACATAATAATTGTCAAAAAAAAAAAAAAAGTGAGAAGCTATTATACAAGACACTATCATAATATATCACAGAGAGATGGAGGAAAAAAGAATAAATGCAAAATGAATCAACAATAGATCGACAAAGCGAATATAATCCCATAATAATAAAACTTTATTATATATTCTATAGTACCTTATTCTCTGTCAATTCGTTCTGCTATTTCACTATTGTTGATCACTAACTTCAACTTATCCTCCAGATCTTGGAGACTATTATTTCGAGGAACAGACAACTTGTTGAAGCATGTCCTACCGATTGGGTAGGCTCCCGTGTCTTCAATGACAGCCAATTCAGGTTTTAATTTGATCCATCCACCGATAGGAAGCCTTGTTGATCCGGTAAAAAAGCGGAGCATCTTTCGTTGTTCATCGATATTGAATTTTGATAAAATTTGTGAAATTTTATCAACTTCATTTTTAAAGCTTTCATTATTAACAAAGAAAGCACGACGAATGACATCTGACGACCAATCCTCCTTTTTATTGTGAAAGACCACTTTATGTATCTCCTCTACGGTATAGAAATTTTTTAAATGATCCAGAGGGAATACATGATTGAAACCTTCTCTAAAATTACTTATTTGTACACGGATTCCAGTTTCAAATACGATTTCTTTGATTTTATTTAAAAACACATAGAAACTATTATGTGATTCCAATTCCGGAAGATCAATGGACACCAAATTATTTTTGTGCCAACTACGACCAGCCGGAATATAATAACAATCCGAATATTCCAAATTATTTTGAACGCTATGAAAATGATTTATCATTTTGGTGATCGACGGATTAATTTGATCTATCAATCCAAGTAATTTTTTAACTTTCATTTCCTTGCGACTTTGAATTTCAGATTTTGTAAAATCGTAGTTGAAAAGTTCTGGAGTTGGGTACTCCCCGAAAATGAGCTTTTTGAGGAACAACTTGTTGAGAGGAACTTCCATGATTTGTTTGTCGGCTAATGATTTCGCAGTCAACATTCCAAGAATATAGAAATCCTTAAGCACGCGAACTCCTTCATCTGAAGCAGCATAAGCTTCATCAAACAGTGTAGGATATAAATTGTACTCATTGCTCACATAATCATCAAGATTGGGCGAGGTTTCAAGATCGATCCACATATTAGATCCGACAGTTTGAAAATAATGAGACATTTGTGTGAAAAAATCACGTGTAACACCCGCACCTATTCCCATCTCTCCTGCGAAAGTGATTCCAAAAGTTGTTTTTGCATCAGAATACTTGCGAAATTTCTCTCGAGTCCAATTAGTTAAAACTTCTTTTTGAACGTTCTCTTTTTTCTTAGTTTTTGGTAATAGTTTTTTACTCCTAATTGAATCGATTAGGCTTGGAGACAAGCCTCTTGGTACCTTCCTAAGACCGAAGAGATTTCTAATGAAATATTTGTGACGACAGAAACCGTCAAATAAGAACCCATAGTGGCTCAAAAGCGTAACGATCACTTTTGGGTAATACCCAGTAATACGACTTATAAATTTCTTTTCGAATGGTCTCAATTTTTGAATTATTTGCGAGCTTCGAAATATATCAGGATCATAATAATCAAAAACACTCCTGTTATATGTATTATATAGATTCCTCATAAGATCTAAAATGAGTAGCATTTGGTCATGAAATTCCAATTCATCAAGTAAATCATTGTCATTTTCATATGTCTGTTCCTCTACCTTTTCGAAGTGAATAACATATTCTTTTTCAAATATTTCATCAATCTTTAGCGTACGAATTTCTTTCTTTGTTAAATAACTGTGAATAACCGTATATACAGTCGAATCTAATGCTATTTTCTTCTTAACCCCATCCTTCATAAACCAAAAATTGTAGTGATCAGAAACGCTTGAATCAGAAAAATCATCATCAGACGCGACATGCGGTTCCATGCCACTTTCATCGTTATTGCTTTCTTCTTCCCAATCATAGGGAATAATATCTCGTCTTCTAGCATCTAAAGTATTCTCGTCATTATTTATTAATTCTTGATTAATTGAACCGAGAAGATCCTCATTATGTAAGTTATCTTGGGCAAGAGCATCCGCGTCATTATTATTTGCTACTTCTTGATTGTTTGAATTAACAATATCTTCATCATGTACAAGTTCATCATTATCATCCTCATGGTCAAATTCTTCATCAGTTTCGGTTTCAGACAATTCAGACACATCGCTTAAATCGGTGATCTCTTCGACGACATCACCGTCTTCCGAAAAATCATCATGATCATCAACTGACGTATGAGAATCATTAGAATTTGAATCAAAACGAGTTGAATCAAAACTTCCGATTTCATTATTTGTCATTGTTCGACGAATTAATCCTTCACTTATATTTTTAAAGCGTCGATAAGGCCATGCTTTCTTCAAATAAGTTTCCGTCTTACCAACGAACTTTAATTTGATTTTTTTATTTAATACGTCTCGGAGACGAATTTTTGCACAGTTGGAGTCCACCAAATGTGGTGTTGTTAAGATATCGTCTAATTTTGTTCTTAACCCATTAATCAATAACGAAAAAAGAGGCGATGGTTTACCATCTTCGATGAGGAATTCATCAATAATATCCTGATTTTTGTCATACTTTTCATCCAACTTATTAAATATCTTATATTTATCCAACCTTTGAAATGTAACATATGTATGAGACCTTGAAATTTGTTGAAGACAGCAAAATGCTTTTATAATTTCATTGTTATCTAAAAATTCCACAACAGTCTTTAATGAATTGTCAAGTTCCTCGTATTTTCTCGAAGGTATAATCTCTGGTATAACTTTCAGAAATGCAGTAATTCTTTGTTGACGTGTAAGGTTCACTTCACCAACGTCAGGTATATAGTATAAATTTTTATTCGATTTCGCACCAACTTCAAATTTTTTCCATCGATCTTGCTCATTTTCTTCCATAATATGTGCCTCAGGATCCCCACCGTCATCAGCTTCATCGTCGTCATGTCCTAACGATGATACAGAACCTGTTTGTTCACGTGAATTATCAGCAATAGTAGTGGCTACTACTTCAGTTGAATTATCAAGAGGATTTGACATATTAATGATTTCTTCTCGCAAATTACCAGAAACATCGCCTCGAGATTCACTTCCACTAACTTCAGCGTCTCTTGACAAGTTATCATTTGTTTCTCGATTTGCATGAACTTGTGAAATAGTTCTACGTGATGCTCTGGTTCCACGTGAACGACCTCTAGAACGTTGAACATTTTGAGGATCCTGACCTTGTGAAAGCACGTCATCATTCACTATAACTTCATCTCTTGATAAGTTAATATCAGCTTGAGACCGAGTAGTGTCTGGATGTGTATTCATTTGTAATGGCAATCTGTTTGTCGAATAATTAACCCAGTTTCCACGTGGACGTGTTCTAGGACGGTGACTACTTTGATGCGGAACTTCTTGAGAAATTGTAATTTCATCATTTGAGCTAACTTCATCTCTTGCATCTGATTGAGATACTTCGTGAGGTACGGTTGTTTGCGATGTCAAATTACGTATTGGATGATTAGTCCGACTTCCACGAGGTCGTCCTCTGGGACGTCGATCACTTTGAAAGTGTATTTGTTGATTTATCAGTTCATTTAAACTAATTTCGTCTCTAAATGAGTTGTCAGGATCAGAAGTTTCAAGATTTATATCTGTTTGATTGAAGGATTGACCTTGAGAAGCTAAAATTGAATGTAATTGGCTTTGTGAGCTACCTCGTGGTCTTCCTCGAGGACGCGGAGGACGTCCTCGTAAACGACCTCTAGGTCTACCTATGGGTCTATTATCATTAACTCGTTGATCGTTGTTCTGTGCATTAATTTCAGGAGAAGGTTGGTTGTTATTATCATTATTTGTATTTGTATTATTTGTATTATTTGTGTTTCTATTATTAATACGAGTAGGATTTTCTCTGCGAGTTTGTTGTATTCCCCTTCTTGGTGGCATTCCGATAATAAAAGTTATAAAAACTATATGGATTCGATGGCTATAAATTCGCCACTATAAATAATTGAAGTATCTATCACGTGATATTGGCTGCATAAATATACTGTAAATAATGTTTAATGATTCTTTTCATCAGCGAAAAAAATCACATGTGCACACGTGCACATGAAATATTTTTTTTTGTGCAGTGTCGCAAAATTTTTGTGCACTTTAT